ATAGCCAGCCATCATCCCATATCCTCCAGCTGCACAGCTATCCTGCCACACTAAGGGATTTAATGAGAGTCCTTGTCTAAATATTACCCCAAGTAATGCTAACAGGGAGGGGTGCCATTTACTGTTCGGCTTTAATGGTTACTCTTGAGAGAAAAGCAAATATAAGATGAGACATTAACCTCATGCTGCTAATTCATTATGTTCTTGATCATACACCCAGTGCTTATTGAAAAATAAAGGGACTGGAAAGATGTATTATGAGATGGGAAATGTGTTTATTTTTCTAAAAGATGATGTCATTGGTTTTTATTGCTTTCCAACCTTTTTCATCATTCTTTGTTGTTTATCCTGTTTTGTTTGTCTTGACAGATGTGGCCATAATTTTGTGCCTCTTTAGTGTTTTTGCCCAGTGTTTTACTCAGGTCAGGTGAATAAATCTGACTTCTTGCAGCAGGATTTTGGAACACACTGAAATAACTGCAGCTTGTTTCCTACCTTGTGTCAACTATTTCACAATGAGACCTTTGCTATGAGTTTTAAAAAATTCTTCCTGGTGAGAAACCAAGGTCATTTATTGTTTTCTTTCCTTTCTCGGCCACCTTTCTACTTTAATGAGCCCTCTCTGTGCCTTCATAAAGTGCATTTAGCTTGTTTATATTTTCCCACAGTAGCGACCCATACTTTAATGGCATTCATTTCATATGATATTATTTGATATACCAACAAATATCCTTCATACCTGTAAGACGCAGTAAGTGTGGAATGAATTGGCCCCGAATAAAATTTAGTACAATCAATTGCCCTCAGACCTTATCTATTGCATAATTTTAGTCCTCCAATAATTGTATAAATATGGAACATAAAGACATAGGAACAGCTCACATATCAGTAAAAAAGATGTAGAGAAGTTTAAAGCAGGGTTGGGTTATAAAACAATATCCACAGCTTCCAGCACCTCAATGGGCATTTTTTAATTGATCATTAAAAAATGAAGAGCATTGATCAATTGCAAACCATCAAACATATGATTGTTCACCTAAATTAACAGGTGAGGCAGGGAGAACATTAACCAGAGGAAGAGTCCAGAGGCTCACTGTAATTCTTCAGGAGCAGCAGGGATCTGCAGGTGAGATAATCTGTGAAAGGATATATTGGGAGAAAGCAGAAAAACGTTTGAATACAGATGGCTTATATGGGGTAGAAAACTAACATTGAGCATAGTGTTGGAAGAATTATGCTGTGGGGACACATTCCATTGTAGGAATTTCAATATCAATACATCATTAACAACAATAGCATGGCTCAGATCAAATCAGATTAATGTGTTAGAATGTCATAGTCAAGGTCTGAACTGAATTGCAATTTAGAGTGGAACATTTTAAATAACTGATATTCACTTTTGTTATCCCGTAAACTTAACTCAATTTGAGTTATTTTGAAATAAATAAAGGACAAAAACTTTATTCTACATGGAAACCTTAGAACTGTGACTGCAATGCAGGGTATTCTACAGAGCATTGACACAGGTCCTTAAAATGAACGGATGCCACACATGTCATATTTTGTCTGTAAAATCATCAAATAATTTTTTTTTTCTATTTAAAGCTGTCCTTATGTAACAAGCTTTTTTTTTTTTTTTTAACAAGGCATCTGAAACTAAATAAGGTTAACCTGAAAACCTTCTGATGAAATGTAGAACTAAACTGATGTACTGGAAGTTGCTCTGCAGCTCCTGACATTTCAGCAGAGATTTTTGTATCTCCACTTTGGTTCTAACAGTACTCATCTAACTTCTTTGTATCACTAATTACATCTTTTCATCTGTATTGCAGTTAGAAACACTCAAACTGATGCTTGCATCATATCCACTGTGTAGAAACAATGCTTACAGTGCTGCCCAACGTGAAACGTTAGCCTCACATTAGGCAATTTCTTCTGGAGCAGAATGTCCATAACTTCACTCACGCTACAACATCTTCCTCCAGAAACACAACCAAGGACAGTTTGTTGAAACATGAGACATCAATAATTAAATAAACACTAGAGTGAAAGATGATTTCCATCCCTGCTGTCCCCATAAAGCCAAATATGGTTACGGCAAACATGTTTAAGGAGCTTGATGTTCAATTAGGCTCGGATCCAGTAAGACAGAAGATTTGTCTGCAATTTAGACATTTTGTTTCCGGTTGATATTTATGACTTTCATTCAGTACCTCCACATGTTGTGCTGTGGATTTGCTGAATGATAGGCGTACACAGTGCAACAGGTGTAAGGATGTTACAACTGTCCTCCTTTATCTAGCCAAATTAAATAAAACATCAGTATGAGGTATGACATCCTGACCAAGTCATTACCTTGTAGACCTTTTAAAGATGTTTACCAAAAAGAGCTAAAGGGACATCAGCGTTTGTTTATTTAGAATAACTGAAACCAGCTAAAACAACTATGTAGTCATATTTGTTAGTATCTGCAGTATTGTGTAAATCTTTAACATCTATCCAGCATAAATCAGAACATAAAAAAAGCAACATAACTGGGTATCAAACATTATAAATTGGTTTGATCCTTATGACTCTTGTTTATATAAAACAATTGGTAAATACTTGAGCTGTTACAGACATCCATACATCACCACAACTAAAGGGGGAGGTAAATATGTAAGAAATGTACAACTTTTTAACAAACATAGTTAATTATTTAAATAAGCAAGGAAGCCACATATGAGGGTTTAGGAAAATGTAGAACCATAATAAAATGTTAATCTACCAGTCGGTGCTAGCTTTGTAAAAATGTTTAGTTATATTGAGACGGACAGATTCATCTTGAATGCAACTAAAAATTATGTCTGTCAAGTAAAGGCATATAGCATGTTCCTAGAGTAAAATAGTGTTTCCAAAAAAATATGTATCTGGGTCAAGGGGTAATGGCCCAGAAATGAGGACCAAGAATTCAAGCAAGACAGACAGTGGAAAAATTAAAAAGCATTTATCCAAACAGAAAACCAAAAGGATCTGCAGTTGTGGCGGCTGCAGAGGCTAGGGCGTCTGAGGCAGGAATGTCTGGTTTGACAGATCTGTCCATGCCCAGACAACAAGGATGATTCTAGCCTTTTGACAAGACTGAGAGGACGCTGCCAGAGAGTTCCAGACGCAGAAGCCCTGAAGGATGCAGAGCTGACAAAAGATCAGACCAGAGCTGACGAAGGAACACGGGATAATACACAGGGCAAAAATTAAGAGGCAGATCCAGTTTCAATACACAGAACAATTGCACAGGAGTCCGAAGACAGGCAGGCAAACAGATCACAGGGGAAGGCAAGCTCAAAAGTCCAAATACAGAAACAGGCCAGGATCAGACCATCAGAATACTATAGAAATGCTTGAGAACTTTCAACACCAAAGGCTCAAGAATAATCTGGTACTGATGGCTGGGAAACAGGCAGTTTAAAAAGGAAACCAGGTGGATCCTATAAGTGAAATGGACAGGGCAGAGCTAGTCAAGTAAATGAAATGGGCAATCAATCCAGCCATCAGTGCCAAAATCATGACACAAGGCCTATTCTGTTTTTTTGTTTTTTTATTTATTTGGATTCTTTTGGCCTTTATTTTGTTATTTTTTTTAAGTATGTAGACAGAAAAGTGTGTTACAAGAGAGGGAAGAGACATTAAGCATAGGTCAGAAGGACCGAAACTCAAACCTGCGAAAGCTAGTGTATTGGTCATACGCTCTACCTCCACACCATAGTAGGCCCCCAAAGTCTGTTCTTTTCTTTGGGGCATTAAACTCTTTAGGTTGTGTGAAGATATTTGGCACCAAGATGTTAGGGTGGTTTGCACTTGTTTGTCCAGTATTGGCAGATGCTTGACTTGATTGTGATGAGGGGGATTTGGTTTCACCTACACCTTTGCTCTTCAAAGCATTCCTGTTACACTTTTGGTTTGAGTGAGAATGCAGTATCCTGAGGACACATCCATTAGGGATATCTGTTAGGAGAAAGGGTCTGAATGGTCTTTCACTTGTCAATATGAAATGAGACAAAAGAGAGCCGTACCTTTTAAATATGTAATGATAAGGTTTCCTTAATAGATTTATATAATTTTAAAAAAAGTGCTTAAATGACAGACGAAAGTATTTGAATAAGTAGTAAATTAGCTATAATCAGCCATTTGCATGGGTGGTAGAAAGTGGCCAACAGGGGCCAGTGTCCCTGGAGAACTGGTCCAGGCACCTGTTATGACCCCAGTTTTTTTTATATATATTTTATATATGTTGATATACTTGTTGTTTTGAACATATAACACATGATTTCAATGCCTTGGCACATTATTTTACGTATTTTGAGTAGAAACTTCCTAAAAGAAGTTTAATAATCTAACACAATCTGCTCTTGCTAAGTCTATCTTTCTCAATACAAGATCAAAATTATTATTTTTTTAGCTAGAGCCTGGTATGATAAACACATTTTATTATGTTTAACTTATACAATTCAATTTAAAAATAATAAAACAATTCCAGTCACCTAAACTTAAGTCATATTAAGATAGGATCACAGATTATACCTCCATCAGATCAGGAATATTCAACTATTGCTTAATATACTTTATTTAATTGTTTTTGTTATTATATTATTTCTGTGCCCCCATGAAACACACCAGCCCTACGCTTGACCTTCTGGTAAATTTCGTGTAGAACCTCTTGCCATTTGTCTAACAGCGGAGAGGGGCCATAAAACCCCTTTCCTCTGATGTTTAACATTTTTTATTTTTTTTTTTCAAACTGAAAAATCTTTTATCCTTTTTATCTTTTTATTGCACTTTAAGATTAACCCTCATAGTTGTATCGGAATCTTTGTGTCGTGCAATGCATGCAGGTGATCCAGTGCAGTGAACAGATTTTTTGGTGGATTTATTCTCCTCTATGCGCGTGTTTACCTGAGAGGCTCATCTGTCCTTCCTCCTACTGCTGACGTCGCAGCAGGCAGAGGTTTGTCCGCACAGACTTAGACTACACTGCTGAATATATATGTAAGGAGGAGGAGGAGCTGTCAAAGAAATTTGGGACTTTCTCAGAAAAGGGAAACTTTTCCCTCTAACCGATCCGGGAATTCGTTTAATTTAAAGTGTTTTTATTTCTTTCTCCGGTCGGATTATCGCGTTGTGTTGGCATGGAATGACGCTGCGCTCTCCAAACACGATGGCAGCGCGTTTTCTGACATGGATCACCCTCACCTCTCTGCTCTGTCTGGGCGTTCTGGCGGAAAAGAAAGGTAAGGAAAATAAGTTACAACAGGCAAAACGCCATCGGTGCTTTCGCTTTCCCAATCTAACATTTTCCTACATGGAAGAGAAAAGGAGCAGTAGTTTGGTGACGGAGCAGCGCAGAAACTTGATCCTCTCTGGGAGGAAAGTTTCTCACAGTCCCACTGTTCACTGCGCTCTGCTTAAAGCCTTAGAAAAGGCTGGAATGAACCTGAGGCTTAAGTGAAAGTACAATACTGAGATGAGAACAGCTGAGGTTGTGATTAATTGGTTAATTGAATAATTAAGGAAATAAACGTATTATGTTTTATAATACTCTGATAATGATGATGATGATGGTGATGGGAGAGGATGTTAGTAATGTGGATTTTTTTCCACTCATAACCTCTAGAGAAAAGCTGCGTTTCTAAAAATTTAGTTGCAAAAACAATTAACTTTAGCTTGTCTTTCAGTTTGCAATCGTTTTTCAGTACAAAAACTAACATTTGAAAGTATTTTGTCTAAAACTTGTTCTTTAATGTTGCCATTTATCATAATATGTAAATTCAACTGCTTTACTTTGCTTATATATTATACATTTATTTTATCACTATGAGCTATCTTATGTGTTCTCTACAGGAACAAATTTTTAGGGTAGAAATTTATCCCAATAAAGAGGCTGTGGTGGAGGCAGTGGCGGTTCTAGACCAAAAGTACCAGGGGTCCAGATGGGGGCCAGCGTGTTTTCATGGGGGGACAGAAAAGCATGAAATAAAAAACAGGGCCAGGGATTCAAATATATTAAGATAGCTGCATGAAGTGACATTTCTATTCAGTTAGGTTTAATTATAATTCAATTTCTTATTAGGTCAATATACATTCATAATTTAGGAAGTTAACATATTTTTAACATAATTTAAGTGAAAATTACAGTTTTCTATAAAATCTGAATTAGAACTCAAGAAAAACTGATAAATTCAGCTGTAAAAATTTGAGCAATTTGTTTTGAAGAAAACATTTAGCAGAAGAAAACTGGGATCCTATCTCAATACCAGTGAAGCTATCACCTTATTGCTTTTAAATAATTAGAAAAAACAGAATTTATAAATAAAAAAAAAAATGAAATAGATCCAAAGGACCTTGCAGTAACTATATCTGTTCCAACCCACATCACCATTAGAATATCTTTAATAATTATTTCTTCAGTACAGGGGCCATAACAGGGGCCAGGACATGATCTACAGGGGCACTGGCCCCTGTTAGCCCCTGTCTAGAACCACCCATGGGTGGAGGTAATAACTCCTTATTTATTAGGCACTATTATAAGGTGTTTTGTAAGGGACATAACTATTGGAATTGCCTTATTTTTCAATATTACAGTTTAGTCATATACATTTTAAATAATCTGAAATATCATATTTTTGGTCAGCCTTACCTGTGTTAAACTTTAGAACACTGAAGAGGAAGTAAATAATTAAAGTTAACATTTAGGGAATTGAAGGTGTTTATCTTCTTAGGGGTGAAGAGAAATAATATTGACGGACCCTTTGCTGTTTTTATAAATAACTATTAAGGCTGTTGCGTCAGTGTATGCTTCATTTGGAAATGTCTCTCAAACTTTATATTTTAAATCTCTCATCACAAACTCTGTGACGTCCAGGTGACTGTGATGGAGTCAAAAACGACAAAAATAAACTGTTATTTCTAGACAAGTTTTTATCCTGACAAAGTTCCACCTAATCCCTCCTGTTCTGTTGCTTTTTAATTTCTGTGTTTTTTAGGGGCATCTGCTAAAACCATAAAAGCTGCATTAGCAAAACCCTTTTGAAATTGTGAAGCCCAATTTCTGTAAGTTTGCCTGCATGTTAAAATGTGTCTTCACTGCTACATAATCCTCATGTATTTAGTTTGTTAATAACCTGGCTTTAGGTTTTTTTGACTGAAGTCTCTGTCCAACACTCCAGTGACAGTGATTCAAAGGGAGGAGTAAGCCACTCAGTGTCTTGACCTCTTTTAATCTTAACAGTGAGAGGAAACACTTTCTGAAAACGGCTGAAATAAATATAATTCTGTGTTACTGGTGAAGATTCTCAGTCATCCAGGTCATAGCCATTCCAAAAAAGTAAAAAAACAAAACAAAACAATCCACTGGACTTTGTTTCCAAGTCTTGGAAACAAAGTAAAGTAAAGCGTTTTTTTTTTTTGTTTTTTTTTTTTACATTTTTGGAATAATTCTGCGTTTACAAAACATTTTTCTTGGAGAAAACACACATTTAGAATACCTGTTAAATATCTATGTTATAAAACTGAAAACATATGAGAACATTTGCATCTGTTACACACAGTACACTGTACATGTCATGAAATAATGGATTTTGTTAAACTCCTTGAGGTGGGCAATGCGTCTATGGTCTGTTTTGCAAGAGACAGTAGGCAACCGTTAAGCTCTTAGCAGCTGCTTGGGATGTAAAGAGGTCCTTATGCTACCTGCACTACCTCTATAAAGCATACTACCTCCTGGTCCTAGCTCCTCCCAACCACCGACACTATTTGGATAGAGCTTATTTAGAGGATTGCTGAAGCATTTCCGCTGTCACTTAAGTGTCCTTACTGTTTAAGGTATTCAGATTTAGCCTGCGTTTGTGCTCATGCATGTTTTTCATTGAATATACTGCCACTTTGTGGCATGGTGGAGAAATTAACATTGGAGCAAGAGTCATCTGCAATCAGATTAAAACATTGTCACGTAGGGGTGTAAAGCAAAACTAAACAAAACAATCCACATTCGGTTGATCTTTGCGCTGGCAGTGACCGTCACATCCTAAACTACTTTCCCACTGAAAACACAGGTTTTTCAAAACCAGGTTTTCAGTAAGTTTTGGCTCTTTTACCATTTCACCAAAAGGCTGAGTCTCACCCCCCCTGCTGGCAAGCTGCATGGCCACTCTCCCCCACCACTCCTTTTAATTGTTTTTAAATGCTTAAATTGCATAGCACCTATCTGTCTGAGCTCCTGTCTATCCATGCCCAGTCCAGAGCACTGGTTGTGGAGTGGTCTGCCCCTCAGCATCCGCTTTGCCCCGACTCATAGCTGTTTTTTTTTTGTGTTTTTTTTTTTATGAAATCATTTTTTTGTTCACATGATAGTTTTTATTGTGCCTTGTTTTTATTGTATTCCTTGCTTTTATATGTTTGCTGTGAAGCACCTTGGGCAGAAGTGTTGTTGTTGTAAATGTGCTATATAAATAAAGTTGATCTTGACCACTGCATGTCTGATGACGGCATCACGCTGGGTGAGCATTGATGATGTCGACAGTGCGAAGGAAATGAGGGAAGTGCAATAGCCAGAGCAAAGTTGGTATTCTTTATTATTTTGTTTTGTCTTGTTACACTGGCGCAGTATGTTGACGTCTGTACGTTGCGTTCAATGGTGTCACGTAAATTAACATGTCAACCCAGGTCTGGTGTTCCCATAGCAAGCTGATCAGAGCGGAGGCGATTTTAACGCGGGTCTCTTGCCGAGTCGTTTGACCCAGTTAGACACTAGTCAGTGAGCTGTTTCCACTGCCACTGTTGTTCCCGGGTCTAAACAGGTCGCCCAGGCTTAGGATTAGCATTAGTGGTTAATTACGATTTACTTGCCGACTTGTATGAGTTGTAAAAACAAAACAATAAAACTGTTTCAGTGACGTTTTATGTCTTTGATGGAACTTTAAACTTATTTTGTTTAAAATCTTTTTATAATTTAGATAAATCTAAATGATCAAAATTAATATAGCTGGTAAATTTGTGAAAATGTATTTCCGAATTACCTATTAGATAAAATGCATGCAGGAATTTGAATTTGATTCATTAGGTTTAGTCTAACAGTTTGTCTTATCAGTGTAGTTTTATTTCTGTTCCCTGGTGGCCCTGAAGTAATTTAATTATTCATGGGCCTCATGAAGCCCAGATGTGAGAGGAGAAAGTGACCAACAGTAACACATTTTAGTCCCTAAAGACTTTAACTTCCTGATCTCATGAATCATAAAAGACCAAACACTTATTGCTTCTCTGGTTTGTTCTTCCGCATAAATAGACGACTTTTAGTGAATGCAGTGAGCATGAGTATCCAATTTTTTCCTGTCTGGACTGACCAATTATAACTAGTACATTTCGTATGTCTTTATGTGCTTGAGAACCATGTTTTTTTTCTAAATGCTTCTTTTGCCAAAAAGACAGTCCTTAAATACTTGTGGGAAACTGAACATATCAGACAGCTTACATCTCATGAAGCAACACATCTCCTACCGTGAATAAAAGCTTAAGAATGTTATTAAGACCAGATAAGATTAATAATGAGCAGCTGTAATGACAAACATGTTGTTCTATTCGGTTTATTACAGCTTTGGGGCAGGACAGATGTTTCGATGTGGCAGATTGTGTTTTTGACGCAGTGTCCAGCTTGATTTGGACAAGATTTCCACCTCCTCAATGTGGCATGTTGTAAATCTGGATATGGTTAACTAACTGACAACAGAACAAATATTAGTGTATTAAAATGGGAGCAGTTAAAATGTGGCCCATGTTTTTTTGGCTTGGTGCCTTGCAGTAAATTAAATGTTTACTCAATAATTATCATACTTATCCAAATATAAGGACTAAAGGCTAATAGCATTATAGATTATGTTCTATATTTTAGTTGAGCAAAAATAGCTGAAGGCATGGAAGGGATTGATTTGGAGTTTAATTTTAAATCAGAGTTTTATTTTGCAACTTGCATATAGTGAGCTCAAATTTGCTAGCAGCACAGTCCCACATACTTAAACAGAGGCTCTAAAATATCTTAAACAAAAAGGTTCTAAGGCAAAACCCAATCACACGCTTCTTTGTAAACTTAAGTTAGATCCACTTGTGCATAAATACTAAAAGCTTGTGTGTTTCACAAATGTGCTGTTTTTTTCATCACATCACAAATAATAGAATAACAGGACATTTTCTCAAACAGCAACGGATTGGCTGGTGTGACCAGCTATTGTGGACCTCACTT